TGTTTTTTTTTTTTTTTCCAAAGAGGTACGAAAAAAGATCTTCAAAATACACCGCTATCGTTAACTCTGCCGCTCATCTTACGGCAGATATCGATAGTCGGTAGTGTGGACATTTTTATCCACTAAAAAAAACATTCCTCTTCCCGTCTCCCCTAGATGGTACGGGGAGGACTGGATTGGAACCGCGTTAGCATTACTTCAATCCAGTCGTGCTGCGTCACACGACGCCTACTCCTGGCTACTGGTCCCTTTCTGCGATTTTGTCTTTCAGGAGGTGCTGTGCATAAGCTGCAACAGCTGACCAGTTTTCCTCTTGTTTGATCATATAGGTCACCAGGCTTGAAGGGGGTGCCTATGATCTCTTCGGTGCTTCTTCTGTAGTCCTTCCATCGAGCACACTCGAAGAATGTGTGTTCGGCGTCGTCGATTTTGTCCGGGCAGTATTTGCACGTTGGTGTGCTGTGCAAACCCATCTTGAAAAGATAGGCATTGAACTGCCCATGTCCCGTCAATAGCTGGGTCAGGAAGAAGTCCGTATCCCCGTGCTTCCGAGAAAGCCAGACGTTGATGTTTGGGGTCAGGCGCGCCGTCCATCTGCCCGTCTCTCCCGATGTCCATCGGTCCTGCCACTCTTGCTGCGTTTCCGCCTTTATCCTCGTTCTTGCATCCTTCATGTTATCATCACTGTCTTTAGCGTCATTGTGTTTTGCTCTTTCGAACGCTAATAGGTCGATGGACGCGGCTCCCGCAATGACCAATACAGCCGCTTCGGAAACTGTGCGGTAGGCGCAGGCAACCCTGAGAGCGCCTCGCCGCTGTACTGCTGCGATCTTTCACCGGTAGGTCTTCTGCTTTAATATGTCTTCCAATATCTCCACTCCATAAATCAGTACCGGGTGGACTGCTTCTAGAAGAACTCTTCTCTTTTTTGTACTTGATCCCATGGTGTTGGTCATAATTCGTGCTAGGCTAGACACAGTCTTGCTGGCTTTCTTGCATGCACTGTCGAGGTGTTCACGAAAAGATAGTTTCTCGTTTATCATTACCCCTAGATACCGTAGGGCCCTTGTTGACGTCAGCGTTGTTCCTCCCATGTCCACAGCGAATGGTTTTGGGAACCATTTTTGACGGGTCAAAACGACCATCTCGGTTTTGTGCTTGGCGAGTTTCAGGTAATGCTTATAGAGCCAAGTCTCGACGGTGTCGATGGTTTCCCGAACTAGCATTTCGGCCTCTCCCACGCTGTCCGCCACTATAGTGGCTGCAACATCGTCTGCAAAGCCTGTTAGCTCTACTTGCTCTGGCAATGGAATTTCAAGAAACTCGTCCTAGTCTGCGTTCCATAAATCAGGCCCCATTATCGAGCCTTGTGGCACGCCAGCCGTTATGGCGTATTCTTGTGGGCTTTCAGTAGTTTCCACTATTAGCTTTCTATCGTCAAGATAGTTGTCGACTAGTGCCAGATTTTCTGGCTCCGCGTCAAACTTGTGCTCCAGAGCGTCTAAAATGTCTCCCCAATTTGCGCTGTTAAATGCGTTTTTGATATCTAGCGTGAGGACAAGACATACTTTACGAGCTTTGAGGCTACCAGACCATGCTTGTATTGCTGTCTTTATGACTTTCTTGATCGCTCCGACTGTCGAATGACCTCCAGCCCGGTCGATGTCGTCGCAAAGTCTCCCTTGTATGAGCTTCTCGAGCAGTTTTCCAGCAATGTCTAGCATACAGAGTGGTCTAAGAACCAATCTCTGTCATTTCCAGACCGCGGGAAACGTGTCAGTTGCCAAGCATGCGTTGTAGGTGTTCAGGAGTAAGTCTGGGTATTCCAGGGCTATAATCTTGATTACCGATGCCGGGATGCCGTCAGGTCCAGGTGCCTTTCCTGTTTTGAGTGACTTGGCTGCGTCTTGTAGTTCCTTAGTTGTGAAGGGCGTTACTTCGTTGTTTTTAGTGTAGTGTTTCTTTTCCCGCGGCGGGTGTTTGGGGAAAAGCTCCGCTACGATGCTATCCATTAAGGCTGGAGACTTCGGCGCTTCTGGTAAAGCCTTTCCAAGTCGTTTGACGACAATTTGGTAGGCTTTACCCCAGATGTCATTGTCGAGATCGTTGCAGATCTCTTTCCACAACTTTGCTTTACTTGCTTTGATGGCTCGGTTTAGTGTCTTTTTTGCCTGCTTGTACTTTTTTGAATACAAGTCCTGGCTTGGGGAGCGTTTTGCGGCTCTCGTTGCGCGGCGACGTAGTTGATGGCATATTTTGCGAAGTTCTGCTATGTCTGTTGACCACCAATACGCCGGCCTGTGAAAACTCCGGTTTTTCAACCGCGGCATACAGGCGTCACATGCGGCGGAAATCTCCTTCATCGTATTTAGCACTGTCCTTTTTGTCTCGCTGCAAGTATCCGGAGTCGGGTTGTTCTGAAGGATAGACCAGCTCCGTGCTAGTGGAGCTCGCAGTGCCTCTGGATCAAGCTTCCTGACATTCCACTTTCGCTTAGAAAAGTCGTGTTGTGATACCGGAGCAGATGCCAATCCAACGTTAAATGTCACGAACCGGTGATCACTGCCACTGTATTTTTCGGATACTGTCCAGTTTTCAATCATGTTGGCAATTCTTGGAGTCACCAACGAAATGTCGAGGATGGACTCTTGGTACCCCGGTCTTCTGAAAGTCGTGGTGCTCCTAGTATTTAGCAATAAGAGGTCGAGTCTAGTCACGACGTCAGCGACCTCGTTGCCTCTGGTGTCGGAGAAAGCAGCGCCCCATTCAGCCGATTTAGCATTGAAATCACCAGCTACGATAACTTCGCCGTCGAACTTAGTGATCACATCCTCTATATTTGCCAGTTTCTGTCGGAACACACTATTTCCTTCGTTATGTGAGAGATAGACGCTCATGAAGTAGGTTATGGGGGTTTGAATCCAGACAAAACCTGCTCCACTTCCGCTGTTGATGGTGGTAACGTTCTTTGTGTTTACAATCCAGATTGCCACCGTGCCAGTTTTGTCTGCGAACCATTCTCTATCTTGGAGGTTTAGATATTGCTCACAGATGAAGCAAACGTCGATCTTCTCTTCAAAGACTCGCTGGCGAAGTAAATTTTGCGCCAACGCACATCTATTCAGGACTCCTTGAAGTATGCGTTTCATTTCTGCCCTTTCGTAGCTTCGGCAAGTGCGGTGCGAAATACCTTACAAGCTCCGGAGCCTGGAATATGACATAAGCTATCTGGAGCTTCTTGTTCCGGTGTACAGAGGAAGCACTTTGGCTGTTCAACGCAGTCTGCAGCTTTGTGGTTTCCTCCCTCGCATTTAAAGCAGCACTTGCTTCTGTCAGGCCCCTTGCAGGAGTTCGTCGCGTGCCCGTATCCGAGGCATCTGATACAGCGTGTTACTTTTTCAACTGGTCGAATGCGGCAGTTAACCCATCCGATCGTTATACGAGCCTTGTCAAGAATTTTGAACGCGCTAGCCTCGTCTATCTCGCAGAAGGCTGCCCGGTTGCCCCGTTGAGTAGGCTTTGTCAAATTTACCCGTTTGATCTCCAGGCTATCGGTGAAGTCACGTTTGAGTGCTTCGCGGACGTCGTTCTCAGTAGTGATGGCATCCAATTCCAGGATCTCGATCGTTGTTTTTGGTGTGAGCGTTCTGACTGTACCGATGTTAGCAGTTACTGTTTTTATCGCAGCCGTGAAAGCGGTAGTGTCTTCAGTCTTGCGACCTATTTCTAGAAGAACGCCCCCTCGCTTCGTTTGTTTGATAGACTTTATGTCTACTCCAGTCTCTGTCGGATTAACCTTGGCTTTGATTTCCTTGAGAAGATCGGCGTATGTTCGCCCTTCAGCTGGTTGGACAAGCACAGCTTTAGTTTTTGTCTTCTTCCTCCTCGGTTTCTTGGAGCCATCATTGCTTGGCTGGTTTTGGGCTGTAGCAGATTGAGCTACTGGCTCCTGTTCTTTCTTTTTCTTGTTCTTCTGAGTCACTTTGGTCCAGGTATCACCCCGGGCTGTCTTCTTCTGTGCTGGCTTGTCGATTTCTGAGGAAGGGCTGCACATGGATAGCGGCCTCTTCTTGTTGTCCTCTTCTCTATGCTGTGTTTTCTCAGGGGTGACCGAAAACGTCTGGGATTTTTTGTTCAGATCCGGAGATGTTTGCGTGGTTCTCGCCGACTTCGTTGCTGATTTGTTGGCCAACTTATATGCCGTGGCAATGGACGCTACTATTTTTCTGAGTTCATGATGGAGATTTCGTTTATCCTTTATGAACTCAGCCAATTCTTCGATCTTGCTACCGAGCCGTTCCATTGGCGATCGTTGACCAGTGACAGTCAGTAGAGAGTTGATCCTCCCTCGGCATGCGTGAGTGTTGACGAGAGCAACAGGTCTTCCACCTATTGGAGGAAAGTTTGTTTGCTGTGCATCTACTTCCATCAGAGCTGTTTCTTTACTCCCTGTAGCATTGCTAGACAGCAGAGCCATTGGGTCACTCCACTGTTCAAACGGTGATTGATAACGACGAGTTCACGCCCGTTTGTATGCCTTCCCTCGCCGGGTGTGTGTGTGTGTGTGTGTGTGTGTGTGTGTGTGTGTGTGTGTGTGTGTGTGTGTGTGTGTGTGTGTGTGTGTGTGTGTGTGTGTGTGTGTGTGTGTGTGTGTGTGTGTGTGTGTGTGTGTGTGTGTGTGTGTGTGTGTGTGTGTGTGTGTGTGTGTGTGTGTGTGTGTATACAATAGTACAGCGCAACTGCATTCGTCGTCGTCGTCGTCGTCGTCGTGTGTGTGTGTGTGTGTGTGTGTGTGTGTGTGTGTGTGTGTGTGTGTGTGTGTGTGTGTGTGTGTGTGTGTGTGTGTGTGTGTGTGTGTGTGTGTGTGTGTGTGTGTGTGTGTGTGTGTGTGTGTGTGTGTGTGTGTGTGTGTGTGTGTGTGTGTGTGTGTGTGTGTGTGTAAGTAAGTATGTAAACTAGGGTGGTTCATTTGCGACAAACATTTTTTTTTTTAGGTGCTCAAGCAAAATTTTGTTCTACATATTGAAAAAAAAATTTTCACCAAGTTAGAGCTCTTAATTCGAGTATGAAGTGCTTGCCGTTTTAATTTGATTTTTTCCCATTAGAAATGCATGTAAATATTTTTTTTTTCAAATTTCTAATGCTCGGACACATTTAATAATATTGGCATTCTGATTGCTGAAATATATCTAGGATTCCACGTTCTTTAAATGCCTTTTAGTCAAATTTAATGTCGCCTGCTTTGGTCTACTGGTACCATCTGTCAAAGTTATGTTTTCGAATAAAATGCACATTTTTTTATTTTCACAGCGAAAATTAATTTATAGATGGAAAAAATAATACATATTTTTATAAAAAATTTGATTCTCTTCAAAAAAGGTCTTAACTTAAGTCTCTCAGACTCATAGTTATTAACTTGCAGTAACTTTTGTAACTAAAAATGTAGAAAAATGATAAAAAAATTACAAATTATGATGTTTAAATTTAAGTTTTTGTTTCAAATTTATTTTTTTCATTACATTATCAATTTTACTTTTTTTGTACTTTTATACCTGACATGTTACACATACTGACATACAGACACACATACACACACAAATAAATAAATAACAAAATAAGCGGGAAATGAGAAAGTTAATACAAAATTTTAATAAATTTGTAATTTATCATAGTTTATATTTTTATTAGAAATACAACCGAAAGAAAATGAATGGTTATTTTACAAACTTTGAATGAAAGCTCTGTTTACTAATTATATCTTCACATAAGTTAAGTATTACTTTGTTGTTGAATAAAGTTTTTTGGTACATGTTGGGAATTCTTTTCTATAATGTTGAACAGTTAATAATAGGTATTGTTTTTGATCTTCCTTGTATGTGCCAAACTCATTGAATTTTTCAATGAGCGCAACACATCGCTCGGCTGTGTCGTTTACAACTTTTACCTGCTCAAATACTTTGCGGCATAATACATACACTGAAAAAAAAGTTTTTTTCCTCCTAGAAAACTTTTCCCTGTGGTTAAAAAAAAAGTATTCCTAAAATAAGAATACCAAAGTTTACTATCCATAGGAATAAGTTTACTGGATATAAAAAAACTTGGTATTCTCATTATTAAAATACTACAATCAATATGGCCGACTTAACCTCGCTTGGTCGACACGAATCTTTAGGATAGATAATTATGAGAAACTATACTTTTTATAATTCTTCATTTATATACAATTTATCACACTAAAATTAATAAAAATGGAAAATAGTATATTAAGCCTTTCTTTTCTTATTTTTAATTCTTATTGTTGTCAAAAATAGTATATTACATACCTAGGCCAGTAAAATAAGAAAAGTCTCAGATCACATGTAATTGTTGGCCGAGGCGAAGCCAAGGTTGACAAACATGTGATCTGAGGCTTTACTTTTTACTGGCCAAGGTGTGTATACTATTTTTCTGCTCGACGTAGCCGGAATGTGGCAACTTTGTTTAGCGCAGCGGCCAGAAAGTTGCCACTTTCCGGCCGGAGGGCAGAAAATTGCAATTTCTTGCTAATAGCATTATTTTACTAATTTACTAATAACATTACTAAGGTAAAAGACCTAGTTATTGACACTTACAATTTTATTTTAATTAAAAAAAATACAACTCTGATAATTTAATAAACATTATATTTAATTATAAACTTTAAGATAATTGGTTTTTTGAGAACATTTTATTTTTTTAATTAGAATAAAATTGCAAGTGTCAAACAACTATAGGCCAGTGAAAATACTTTTATTTATAATTTATAAATTATTTAATTTACACAAATAAATATTTAGGTAACTAGACTCAGGCACGAGGTAAACTAATAACTAAAAAACACGCGTACACTGTAGATTGGAGGGAAATGACAAAATAGTGGCGCCACCGTCACGGTTGCTATGGTAACATAGAATTTAGTTTTAGTCCTGTTAAAAAACTTGGTATTCTCAGATTTAAAATACCAGTTTTCTTAAATCTAAAATATTTAACTTGACTTTTACTTCGTACAAGAAAACTCGACTAAAAAATATTCAGTATTCCGGGAATAAAAAAACTTTTTTTTCAGTGTACTCTGAATCTGTTTCCCAGGAATCTGGATGCTGTTTCAAAAATTCGCATGACAATTTAAATTTTTTGAAAATGCATAAAGATTCTTGACTTACAAAGTCACTTATACTTTTTGTTGACATTAAATCGAATTCTTTTTCTTTTAAAATTAAGCGGTGATTTTTATCACCCCTTGATTTTTTGTTCTTTATCGCATTAACTATTTTTAATTTTTCTTCTTGTGTTACTGTCCGATCGAAAAGAGCTAGGCCCGTAAGATTTTCGTTTAAATACCACATATGTTTTGATAACTTTTTTAAGGCTGCTTCTGCAATTTTCGGATGAATTTTTTTGTACTCCAACAAGTTTTGAAACATCTTCAAATCATGATAAGGAGCTTCAATAGCGCTTGGCGCAACAAACCAAGCATGAACATAAAACAAAACAATAAATACGCAAATTTCCCGCAAAGCAGACAGTACTGAACGTGTAATATTGAATTGTTTCCTGAACATATATATTTTTAAACTGTATAGAGCTTTAGAAAGCCATCGAGCATGGTGCATAGCACCAGGAGCTCTAAATTTGACACCGCTGTCTGGTGTACCGCCCAAAAATATGTAACTCAAGGTCAAAAGTTCGTAATAATCACCCCTCGAAGTACGCTTCTGTAAAAAGAAATAAATTAAAAGTAAGGGAGAAAGAAATAAATCAAAGATATTAATATTAATTGTGGAGAAGATTTCAAGTTGTAATAAAACTTATTCACGTTACAACGGATAATAGACAGGATAAATATTCTTTAATTAATGAAAAAATGACGTTTGATAATTTATATCGCTCTTTATAAAATAATAAATAAATAACTAAGTAGATCAATTATTAAAGAGTCTGTTAATCAGATGAATGAATCAAATACAGTTCGAAAATTATTTTCTTTCAATCGTATAAAACTATATTCATTGATTTTATCATTTCTACTGTTACCTGCAAATGATTTTCGATGAAAGAAAGTAAATTGATTTTATGTGTATTCAAGATATCATTAATCTCATCATCTTCTATACCAATGTCATATTTTAATTTGTCTATTTTTCTCCATTCATTCCGAAATCTTACAAAAATAGGTACGTTTGGACTATTAGTTGTAGGCCAAGCCACTTCTACTATATTTCTCAATATAATTTCAAAAATATGATGTCTACAAGCCAAGTGCAGTAAATATTTATTTAATTTTTTTTCTAATAAAACACACGCACCGCTTTTATCACCTTCAATAGATATATTTATAAAAGTTATTAAAAATTTAAGACACACATATTTTATAGATATAAATAGAAATTTACCCGTATTTACAGAAGTAGTGTCAAAGCACATCCCTACTGTACTGTCAGCAATATTCCACTCATTTAAAGCTTCAAATACTACTTCCGCTTGATTGGTACCGCTTGATGCATCTAGTGCAGGTACACCGAGTAATTGTTCCGTATTCATTCCAGAAACAACAATTGGTAATCTTTCAACTTTATTCATTGGTTGATTTGATAATTCAGGAAGTAACTTTCCATCCCAATGTACTACCAGATTTTCTGCAGTTTTGTGATTGCCATCTTTCAAATTTTTAGCAATAGTTTTTCGAAATTTAGTTCGAGCATTACGAATACTCGTGTAACTTAAATTGTAATTGTCGACATCTAACCCAAGACTGATGATCACAACAGAAATAATGTGCATTGCACTCCGATTACTTGTTTTCGTACGATCTAACGCAGCTACTAAAATCTCTGTCATTATATCAGCCTTACGTTTTTTTTTAGCTTGTGGCAGTTCATCTTCGTAATCTGATAAGAATCGTTTGTCTGTATGGTTTGAAGATTGGCTACTTCCTGCATTTGACATTGAAAACTGTGATAGTTTTTGACTCAAATCTACGAATAGATGAAAAATAATTTTAGACTGGATAACTCATTAAGTACATGTTAATATGGCAAAAATACATTTCAGTATGATAAAAATTAAAATACACGATAGAAGGATTTGTTTATTTTTAATAAGCTTTATGAACTGTTAATAAATATTTATTTCAAATAGAATTTATTTAAAATAGAAAGCAGAAATAGCTATTTTCTTTTGACATTTTTTATAACCCCAGAGATGGAATACATGATATTAATGAAATTCTCTAAATAAGTTGACGTTTTCAATAATTAAAAATATAACAGATAATTATGAGCTGTGATAGAATTTGGTATTTTACAATAAACGTTGCAACCGAAACAAACTCACTCAACAAAATATTTATTAACTGTTAATAAATATTTGTAAACTATTAATAAATGTACTTTTCTCCCAAATAAATATTTATTGAATATTAAAAAGTATTTATTAAAATTTAATAAATTAAATAATTGTCTTCAAATAAATTAAATTCTTAATAGTTAATAAATTTTTCTATCAGTGTAAAACGTGTTGAAACTTGACTTGACAACTAAAAAACAAATTTGTCATAAGAACATTGCTGCGATTACAAGGTTATCATTGTGGAGAAAAAAACGTATACTTACTAAATTCAATGTTTTCATCGTTATCTCTTATTTCTTCTTGTTCACTTGGCAAACTAATTTGATCTTGATATTTAAATTCTTCATTTCTTTAAGGTATGAATGGCAAACATTTAATACCATCATTTTGACGACATTCCATTAAAAATAATTGCAAATCGCTAGAAATATTCGAAATTTCATTGTTGTTGGCGATATCAAATATTCTGCTTAACTGATTAATGAAATCATTAGCTTTCTGTGTTTGATTTATTGACTTGTTATTGGTGGATTTTTGTTTTTTAATTAATTTATATTCTTCATAAAATTTTTCAAACTTTCGAATACTATTTCGGCTTGCTGCCGTTGGAATTCCAATTTTGTTCCACAAATCATTTAATTCATTGACAGTCTCGAGAGTGCTTTGTCGGCTAGTTAAATTCAAAGTGAAATGCTTATGCATAAATAAATTTATGACATCACGATAAGTCGGTAGTTTATGACAATTTAATTCTTCAATTTGAAAGCCAATTAAATAATTGTATATTTTATTACCAATTATTTCAGTCATGATTATACTTAATAGTTTAAAATTTACAATTATCTTAACAAGAATCAAAAATGTTATTAATAAAACAATAGTAAATTAACCAATTGGTTAAGTCAAATCTTTTAGGTTAAGTAATGATAAGGTGATAAAAAGAAAAAATTATTTGATTAATACCAATTAATAGAAAAGAATTATCAAGATACATCAAAGATGATGTTGTATATTTGAGAAAAATGATTTGAGTTAAGATATATTTCAGTTGACAATTAATCGTTATTAAGACTGATAATTATTTTAAACAAATAATAATTCACGGAACTAATATCTAGTTATAAATTCAATAAAGCGTCTATCTTAGTTATTTATGTGAAAACTAGAGGCGCTAAGACAGTACTAATTAATTAGCGCAGTGAATGGGCTTTAAGTAATCATCCAATCAAATAAGCAGCATTCTTTTCAATTTTTAATTGACAGATAATGCCATCTGGAATGTAATTATTATGTGCCAACGGAAATGATTTCATACCATATATATGTATACATGTATAGAAACGAATTCCCAACATGTACTAAAAAACTTTATTCAACAACAAAGTAATACCTAACTTATGTGAAGATATATTTAATAAACAGAGCTTTCATTTAAAGTTTATAAAATAATAATTTATTTTCTTTCGGTTGTATTTCTAATAAAAATATAAACTATGATAAATTACAAATTTATTAAAATTTTGTATTAACTTTCTCGTTTCCCGCTTATTTTGTTACTTATTTATTTGTGTGTGTATGTGTGTCTGTATGTCAGTATGTGTAACATGTCAGGTATAAAAATACAAAAAAGTAAAATTGATAATGTAATGAAAAAAATAAATTTGAAACAAAAACTTAAATTTAAACATCATAATTTGTAATTTTTTTATCATTTTTCTACATTTTTAGTTACAAAAGCTACTGCAAGTTAAAAACTATGAGTCTGAGAGACTTAAGTTAAGATCTTTTTTGAAGAAAATCAAATTTTTTATAAAAATATATATTATTTTTTCCATCTATAAATCAATTTTCGTTGTAAAAATAAAAAAATGTGCATTTTATTCGAAAACATAACTTTGACAGATGGTACCAGTGGACCAAAGCAGGCGACATTAAATTTGACTAAAAGGCATTTAAAGAACGTGGAATCCTGGATATATTTTAGCAATCCGAATGCCAATATCATTAAATTCGTCCGAGCATTAGAAATTTGAAAAAAAAAAAAATATTTACATGCATTTCTAATGGGAAAAAATCAAATTAAAACGGCAAGCATTTCATACTCGAATTAAGAGCTCTAACTTGGTGAAAATTTTTTTTTCAATATGTAGAACAAAATTTTGCTTGAGCACCTAAAAAAAAAAAAATGTTTGTCGCAAATGAATCACCCTAATGTAAACCTCTTATAACTTTTGAACGGTTGAACCGATTTCATCGCGGTTGGTGCCATTCGAAAGGGCTTCGCCAAACTTGGATTTCCTCAAAATTTGAACCGATTCGTACCGATAGATTTTGAGAAATTTGGAGAAATCTAAAAAAAAAAGGAAAAAAAAATTTTTTCAGAAGTGGTTTTTTTGGAATAACTTTCAAACGGCTCTGCCGATCGATTCCAAAAACTAATCCGCTCTCAACCTCGAAAAACCACGTCGATCGCCATCAATCTGGTCAAAATCGGTTGATTTGTTCGAGAGATATCGTGAACGAAAGAAAACCCAAAAAAATGTTTTTTCGGAGTTACTCTGAAATTTGTAGTTTGACCAATTGAAACTTAGAAATTATTTATGAGGCTTAAAAACAGCGTAGAATGCCGCAGACCGCGTAAAAATCGGTTCATTCATTCAAAAGTTATTGCGGTTTGAAAATTCAAAAAATAGTGTTTTATGAAACTTTAACCAGACTTTTGAGCTCGTAGAGCTCAAAAGCATAGAAAAGGTATCTTTCTGAGCTCGGAGAGCTTAAAACAACACAAAGATTGTATTTTCGAGCTCGAAGAGCTCAAAAAAAATGGCTATGTATTAACGGAATTAGCGGGAAGTTTCCTTATTTTTATTTAATTATTATTGTTATCGACCGAATTTTTTTATATATAAATTAAAGTTCTATCGCCGTGCGGTCAAGTGACTAGTAAATCTTATTTCAAGTCAAACGGATGGACATTCCATCTTCAGTATTAGTCGAGAGACATATTCTCTCTTTACATACTTCGATGGGGATCCACCGAACCTGAATACTAGTGAAGCTGAGAGTTTTTGTGGTATCTGTTCGAGTTAAAGATGTTCTTAGTGAATGAAAGAAAATTAAAGAAATCAAATGAGAGCAAAGACAAACTTTGAAAAAATATTAATTTTTAGTTAAGGGGGGAGCCTGCTTTAGAAGCTTCAAAAAATCGATTTTTTCGAGGATTTTTTTGGGAAGGAAAGAAATATTCGATTGAAACTAAACTTCCAGGTTTTATTGTTATATATTTCAACAGTCTTCTCAAATTTTTTCATTAAAATATATGTCATATTATGCCTGGTACAAGCATTTCGCCGAAATGCCTCGCGTGTGCATGTGTCGTGCGGCGGGAAAGATGCAGGTCGCAATTTCCATCTGAAACAAAAAACCTAAAAAAATTTTCATTTTCAATAGTATAGCTTCTAGTTAAACCAAGAAAATTCAACAAAAAGTAAGAAATTCAACAATTTTTCGCTAATGAAAAAAAAAATTCATTTTTTTTCGAAAAAAAAATTCACTTTAGATTGTTTAAAAAGTGGGTTAATCATAACTATTTAAAGGTTTTTTAGGTTCAACTAGAAGAGAATTTAATCTCGAATACAATTAATTTTGTCTCGTTTCGATAGGACGTTTAGTTTTTCCCTATCTTTCCCGCCAATTAAGAAAAATCGTAAAAATGAAAAACTTCAGACTTCAGACTTCAGACTTCAGACTTCAGACTTCACCTTTGGATACGTTTAATAGTTACAATACATACAATTGATCGAGGGGCGGAGCGCGGGCACTACGAGAGATCCGGCCGCTCGTATACCTACTCGACGCTTGCTCACTATTTCTCCTGTCACTCCGAAAATATTTTGAATTTGCTTCTGAAATTTTAGGGACACATTCTGGGATAGTTTGGGAAGACATTTATGCAAAAAAAATCGATTTTTTGATGCCTCTAAAGCAGACTCCCCCCTTAATACATTAGCCATAAAATATAATGAAGTAATGGTGATTTTCACCATAAACAAACACAAAATTAAATTTTTTCAAAAACCTTGTGAATAGGCCTTATTTACTACGATAAGGTAATAAGGCCTGTGGGTTCAACATACTGGAAATGCTTATATTATACTTAATAAAATTGGTATTAGAGATCAATCATCACTTAAATTTAGCAACAATAATTTTTAAGATGTTGATAAAAATTAGAACAATGATTTCAAATTATTAAATATAAAATTATAAAAAATGTTTACCATTTACTCAAACTGTTCTTTAGGAATTCTTCTGTGCTACTTCAGCATGTGACGGATGATGAAATATAGAAGACAGGGAACGTTGTATCGGGACTCGATAAACATGGCGACATTTCTATGCTAGACGTTTCTACTGGAGAAGCCTTTAGCAGAAGCAGTTATTATAAATATCATTTCTATCACTTAGGTCTTATTTTCCGCGGGAACCTAATGTTTTTCGCACTACACATTTCTAGTGTTACGGAGTAACTTTGAATTTTCGCGCGCTCTAATCGTCGCCGCCGGGGAGCTAGCGCGCCGGGACGGAGACTAACGAAGAGAAGAGACGGAGAAAACGGACGGGAGGGCAGAAAGAAAAAGATGGTGGCATAAAAGGCACGTGAGCTTTTTATAAAAAATAAAAAATAAATTATAAAACGTTTTCTGGACGCCAAAAAAAATATTATTATCAGCCGGCAAGTCAAAGGGCCGAGCATTTTAATAAGTAGTGAGGTCGTACTCGCGTCAAAAGAGTAACGGCTAACTACGAGGCTCCAAAAAAGGAAATAATAACCTCAAGAACAGTCAAAACTGGGGTTACCACGTGTAGTCCACAGTCAAAGAGCTGTGGATACACTTAAAAAAAAAATCTGCAAACCGGCTTCTTCAAGCCTCCACAACTATTTCGTCGCTCCTGAGAAAAACCTACAACAGAAGGTGAATCCCCTGGGGATCCAGCCGACTGGTGTCGGCGAAGAATTCAAGGAAATACAGCACGCAGAGACACTCGTCATCCAAGCTGCTCCCTGGTCCGCCATTTGGTGATAAGTAAAAAAAAAAAAAATATTTACCAGCGACAAATCAAAATTTGAAAGTTTTGATTTTTTTAGTTAAAAAAAATTTTTTTTTTATTTGCGGCTGTTGTCTAAGTAAACAAAAATTTTGTGAGTATGCACGAATGGAGAGTCTTTTTCTTCTAATTAAAAGAGTGTAATATTAAGATTATACTACGTTCGTAGTCATTGTTAATAAGAAATTATAAATTAGCACACAAAAAAATTTGTTATTGTGTCCTAAGAGGTTGTTACTGAAAACTGAAAAACAATTCAATACTCTCAGAGTCGAAAGAGACATTAATTAAACTTCTATTATAAAGAAATCTTTGTCTAAGAAATCTTTCACATCCTCAACTCCTTTTGCAGTTTGCCTAGAGTTCTCCCGCGGACGACCCCACCCACGGAACTCCTGGTCGAGGCTCATGCAGCAGGACTGTCTAGTCGGAACCGTCTCTTGTCTTTTCTGTGCTCTTACCTTTTCTTAATTTTTAGACAAAAATTAAGTGGCGCCCTAAGATAGTCAAAAATATATCTCAATATTTTTTTTCTCTTTTTTTTTTTTTTTGAAATGGAGTATATTCGCGGGAAATTTAGATAAAAAAATTTT